AAAAATATATTGATCATTGTTCGATTAAAATATATTAGGTTGATAAATAGATTTGGTCACTGAAATCGTAATTTGCCGGTATGATGATGTCGGACAGGTTAATTAACTGTGAAGTGTTCCATTGGTGCCTCTACAGAGTGTTTGGCTGACGCTGGATCAATCAGCCCTCAGAAATCTAGAGCACGTATTGTTTGCTGTAATCGCTTCCAATGGTCTTTAACCTTGAAAGTTGACCAATGTTATCGTAATTAATTTTCCACAACATCTAACGCAGTAGAGCGGCATATTTTCAAATAGAGAAGGCAACGCAAAAATCAGTTGATATTACATGATGTCTTGTAGAATACATATATATACATATAGTCTATATATTTTATATCTTTGTATGTACTTATTAAACTTAGGTAGGTATACAAGTATAAATTTGATGCAATATTTTTCTGCCTCAAGAAATCGTATCGTTTTACAGACGTATTACTTACCTATACACACCGTTGAAATAAATATTATTAGTAGACGCCATTTGCCGAATTTTCTTTTATCATTCTACCAGGAAGATACTTGCAATGAATTATATTACCTCAAATGAGTTACGTAGAACAGTTTACCTTGCCAGTGAAGAAATAATTCACAAAGGAGTCTAAAGAACATCGAACAATAAGTATATATCTTCAAAACAAAGTTTTCGTTTCCAGTATGTACGTGTTACTTTAAAAATATGGCTGGTAGTGGGTACCTATTTGTATTAAATTCGTATCATATTGTCTATTGTTAGTAAAGCAATCTTCATCAGAGCGAGGGATGGGCAGCAGCGTCCCACTTACAACATCTCTAAAAGCCTAACTGCGGTTTTAAACCCGCCTGCCAAGCGTGGCAACAATTGGCTAAACTCCCCTTATGGAAAAGGCTTATGTCCAGCAGTGGACAGTTAATGGCTAAAATAATAATATTCCTCATCAATCACAGGGTTTTCTGCCTGAAAAAGCCCGTCTCTTGATAAAAAATATATATAATAATACTATTATAAGTGAGAAATATGTTTGTTACTCAATCATACTTAAACAACGACTTCGTTTGTAAAAATTCTAATCATTAAAATAACAAAAATGTCAACTTTTCAAAAAATGAATAATGCCAGCAACCATATTATTTATTATAGTATATAATTCTCAATATTACATTTTTTTTACATTCCTAAGGGTCTTTACCTACTTCTGGTATATCAACTCTATCATATGTATCATGTCATGGAAATATGTTTGCTGTCCGTAGTTAGAAACGTAATTCAGTGATTCGTCTTGTTCACAATTTTTATCAATCAAACAGTTTCGTTAGTGTTATATAAATATGATGATGGCTAATCAATGACTTTTACTACCAACGCCAGACTATATCCAACTCTCTGGCTTTGGATTTTAAGTCTATGCCAGCGATTACGTTAAATCTTAAATAAAAAATCTAAACCATCAGGAACTAAATCGCGGGCACATATAATAGATCTAACGATATGTTCAAGATAGGGAGGCGTACACAAATTGGGTCATGTCCGTCATTTCCTTTGCACGGCCAGTTTGACATGCTCACTAATATTGCATTACCTTACCCTCTTAAATGCTTTTACACGATCAGTTACGGAACTGTTTCTTACGTATTACATATACTAGACAAACCAATAATTGTAACGTTACTAAATTTGATGATTTATATATACTGTTCCTTTAATACGTCATAGATAAAAGTTTATGTAATTACTAGCGGCCCATCCCGGCTTCGCACGGGTGAACATATTTAACATTTCCCTTCACTGCTCTGCTCCTATTGATCGTAGCGTGATGAAAAGTATACTATAATCTGCCCAGGAGTATGAAGAAAATTTGTACCAAGTTTCGTTAAAATTCGTCGAGTAGTTTTTGTTTCTATAACGAACATATAGACAGACAGACAAAAATTTTACTGACTGCATTTTTGGCATTAGTATCGATAACTAATCACCCTGATAGTTATTTTGGAAATATATTTCATGTACAGAATTGACCTCTCTACAAATTTATTATAAGTATAGATAATGCCCGAATAAATAACATTGAACTAAGTATGTTCTAATTATATGTTGACCGAATTTATAATTCATTCAACTTGATTAGTATAATTTGATTCTAAGAACAATAACTAAATTGGCCAATTTATTCATTCTATTCATATTCTCAGAATTTGAATACAAAAATGAAACTGTTGTTATGAAAATCAAGGAATTGATGATCACATTTCTGAAATGAATATTGGACTAATTTCTAGAAGGCAAGACAAAGTTACCAAATTACTTACAGTACTACTCGTATTGACTATTACAGGTATCATTCAAAATAATATTTTTCTATCTATTTATAGTCGTATATAAAATTGGAAAACATATAATCATCGGGTACATTATCATAATTTACCTAAATGACCGCATTAATTCCTGTTTCTTGTAAAACATAATAGACAAAATGATTTCTGAAAATTTTCAGAATAGTAATTTTAGACAGTTAAGTAACGTAATTAAAATACATTGTCTGAAACTTAAAATTATATTAGATATTTTAAATGATAAAAGTTTCATTTATATTGTGTCGATGAGGGTGAAAATAATTTTCATTACAAATGGAATTTTAAAAATGGAGATTTTTTTGACACATGATACATATAAAAAATATAATAATTCTTTCACCCTTTCGTTGTATATTAAGTACATACTTATACATATTTTTTCTATATAATTTATAAAATCATCTTGTATAAAAAAAGATAGACTTATTCTAATTAAATTTAGCTTTAAATATTCTAATTAAAATAAATTTCATTTCCGATGATGATCATATGAAAAGTGGTTAAGTTGAATAATATAATAATAAAAGGATAATAAATGAATTAAATTATAATTAATATTAATTTATTTTATATTAATACTAACAATATTTGGCCATAACATAGCTTGACCTTTGTTTAAAAAAATAATATCTAAAAATTACGTATTTGCATTTGTAGAAGCCGGATTTTGTTTGATTGTTTTTAGAATACTTCTAATAATTATAAATCCCTATATCAAGTATATTGAAATATGAAAATAAAATTAGACATTTTAAAAGTAATTAAGTAGCATTGATGTAAAATATTTCATAATCATACAGATTTTAGAGATATTACAATTATGATATTTTACTTAACAATATGCATCATAGTAAATAGCAATAACATCGATTACATGTATAATTTTCTCGTCATACACCTACTTATGAAATGGTTTGATTACGTCTCTATAGACGCCTACAACACCAGGATTGTCACGTGATTGTTGCAAGGGGAACACACCTGCTTTACTTGGCAGGCTTCTTTCATTTCCCAGATAAAAATTAATGGGTTTGCTCAATTTCTAAGTGGCCAACTCGATAAAAATATTATTTCTCTTTTATTTTACGTCAATTTTTATATGAAAAGGTTAACTTGAAGGGTAAATGTAGATATATTTACCTTTTTTATATGAAAAGGTTAACGTGAAGGGTAAATGTATATTACATTATACCTATACTTATATTAAAAAAAGAAATTATTTTATTGTTTGTTTTTCGTTTACTTCATCTAAACAATAAATTGAGAAAGAGATAATATAGGTAAGTAGTAAGTTAGCTAGTAGATAATTATATAAATATAGAGACTGAATATTTATCGGATTACAGTGAAATGCGGGTAGAACTTGAAAGCACCGCTAACAGTTCGTTTTCTAAATCGTACTGCGATTCTATTCATAATAAGTAGTATTATTATATTATCCACAATATGCTATAGACTTATATATATATATATATATATATATATATATATATATATATATATATATATATATATATATATATATATATATATATATATATATATAAATTTAGGATGTATACGAAATTTTGGATACGATATAAAAGTAGAACATATGTTTAATATAATTTTTTATTTAAATTTGAATGCACAGTGTAATTGTATGTACATTTGGTGAATTTAATATTGATGGTGTTCTTTACCAGTCAACCATTGGGTAAACAAAAAATAGGAAGGCAGTGCATTCAATAAAAAAACTACTTCAATTGTGGCATAACTACTTTTATTTAAAAATTAAACTACTTAAACGATTGTGATAAAATTTCTATGGAACCAATCTGTAAGTATATCCTTTCAAACAAAGAAAGAATTTTCCAAAAGGGTTTACAACTGACGTAATTATGACAATCATAAAAAAGGTTACAACCGAATTGTGAAACTCCTTCGTATGAAAGTCGGTTGAAAATTAAAGAAACATAAAATAATATTTAAATTATTTATAAATAAATATATATCCAACTTTGTATTGAATATGATAAAATGTTTCATTTATTGCTTACATTGAGAGAAAATTTTGAATTATGTAACTCAATATTGGGTTCAACGCAATCACATATGCTTACGTGAGTTGTTCTACTCTCACCTACAGAACTCTTTTACTTTAAAAAACCTTCGAATTTTCTTTAATATGCATTAAAGAAAATTTGATGTCTTCAATGCGTTTATGAATTTAACTAAGACATCACACGTATATTGTGTACAATTTAAGCCGGTATAATTTGTAGGTAAACAAGGCGTGTTATATTTATATTCAAGCTCAAAGTTTGTCAACTATGAACGTTAAATGAATATTATGTTACATTATTATAATAATATAATACTTGGTTGGAAGAGCTCAAAGTAACAAGGACGTGTTTTATCTTATTTCTATTATGTTTTGTATTTATAACCATTTCCTTCTATATTTAGATTTACATTTACATATTTTTTTATGTAAATCTATCTAATAGATATTTCAATGGTTAAGAAATTGTATTCTGTATTGTTCCTATTTTGTTGATATACGAATACACATGTATTGTATAGGTAATTATAATTATTTACATTTTATTATAATGATATATAGTAACGAAATGCTCTTTTTGTTTCAGATATCAGTCTTTCCTTCCTTTCATTAAACATCGAACATGGTAAGTTATTTCTATTTAATATAAATGCGAACAATATTATTTTATCAATATTATATATAGATAAAATATATTTTAATTGTTACTTTTGCAATAAGGGTCGGTCAATATATTTAAAACTATTCAAATTTCGAATCGATAACATCAATCTATAATTTAAGCATCAATCATTGTTGAATTTGTAGAGGTAATAAGTAGCACAATGATATAAGATTGACATGTAAGTAACTGACGGATTAATGAGTTTTGGTATAGTATTGTAACGAAATGTAGAATATGCTTACTGTAATCATAGATGGAGTATTCGCAGAAATTTTATTGATAGTTACGGTGAATGGAACATAATACTTTGCTAAACATTGGAATCCAATATGAAATGAAGAGAACTAACCCTAATTTTGGACTTAATATCATTAGAAATATATCAATCAAACGTATCAATAATGTCAATCAAAACACCCAAAATTTTATTTTCAAAACCAGATTACAACTTATAACCATCTGAAATATTTTTGGTTAGGCGCTATAAACCACCAAACTACGGCGCTCATGTTAATGCCTATGTGTTTTTTCTATTAATACAAGTATTATCTATAGTATAATATTGCATTACCATATTAACTTAGATTATATTTAATAAATATAAAATATAAATATTTAATATAATATTTTATATATACAATCATCTGTAGATATATACATAATACCAAAAATATTGATTATAATTGGTTAATGAAGGTTTTATCTTTTATTGTATTGTTTAAAGTTATTTACAATTCCATTGGCTTTGTACGTGTTAACAATAGGGACTGTTATTTTATCTTTATTCTCATTGTTTCACTGATTACAAACGAAAAAAAGGTACATACATAAATACATTTATTAAACTGTGTTGTACTGTACTATATCTACAAATACCTAATAACAAAAATTTATGAAGGGAAATCATTGTAATAAATTACCTCAAAATATATTAGTACCCAGAGGAGTATATCTAAAACTTCTATATTAACGTTGATTATGAAATGGAATAGACTAGTTGTGTTGTACTTTCTTGACAAATACCTACTACAGTTTGAGATGAAACTGAAATGGAATACAACTAATGTTTCACGTATCCATAGACTATCATATCATAAACATAACTACCTACCGTCAGATAGTATAAAATTTTTAAAATGTTAAAAAACTTTTTTTTTAATTAAATTTCTTGAAAGTATTTTATAGACATACTAAATGAGTAAATGAATAAACTTGCTTATTTATTATTATAAAAAAATATAGTTACTAAAATATTAACGAACAGTTCAGAGATCGAATGTTCAATCGGTAGAAGGATAATTATTGAAGGATCATATTATATTAATGAACGTTTTAAAGTCGAACACTGAAGAACGTTGAATAGATGGTAGGCGATATAGTTCATATTCGTAATAGTATCTACCTTCCGTAAACAAATCACTCGAAACTCTATTACAAAAAGTAATATTATTGTCTGATGATATTATTTAGGAATAAATAAAATATACCTGAAGTACAATCTGTCAATTTATTACCGGGAAGTATGTACGATTATTATGTTTTATATTCGATATTGTTTTCAGTATATTTACCGTCAAGTTCATATAGATATTTGTTTATCTTTGTTGAGGTATTAAAAAGTCACATAATTTAAAAGTTCGTTGTCTTAAGTACTCATTTTCTGAAAAGAACAATATGTACTTCGATATTATGATTTTTGTTGCCATATAAAAGATCTGTATTTAATTTCTTTGTAACTTATTTCATTTGAAGTTCAAAGTCAAAGTTTCAAGAATTCTTATGCTTATTATTATTTTAAGTCAAAAAGGGAGTTTGCAACAAAGCAAGCATATTAGCAAGCTAATTCATTGTTGAAAAAGGTAAAATAAGGTATCTGGTTACTAAGAGTAGTAGGGGAGTGAAGTAAGTGTGGAAAGGAAAAAAAATTAGATACTATGAAAGTATTAGGCAATTTATATGCGCATGGATTCCAACGCGGATAGTTACGACTAGGATTAACTTCTCGTTACCCCTAAACAATTTAAAAAAATATATAGAGTACAATTATAGAAATATAGGTATTTCTATAATTCTAATCTCTATTCCGTGTTAATCAGTACATGAAGTAGGATACTTTGTGTTAAGTTGGGATATAACCTATCCGAGTTTCAAATTTCATTCAGTAGTTTTTGCGTGAAAGAATAACAAATAACCATCAATTTTTACAAACCTTCCCATTTATAAAATTACTAGCTTTTACCTGTGACTGTCCGTGAGACCGGGATATATCTACTGATCAGAATGAAATGTTGCCTATATATAGGGCTGCCATCACCTAAATTGTCGACACCGGATAAACATGGCCAAAATCCCGGACATTTCGGCGAAATATAGTTTTTGCCCCGGACACTTCTGCAAAAATATTTTTTGTAACAAAAATTATTGTTATTGGTTATTGTGGATGAATTTGTAACTAAGATTCATTTCAATTGATCGCTTACCTATAAAAAATTTGATTTCTCCTGACAACAAAAGTGTTCGGGTTATATCCGGACATTTTTCAAAAACCCCTGCCGAACAGTCCCTGGACGCCCTTCAAACTAGGACAAATATGGCTGAAATGTATACGTACAAAACAATGTACAATCTTTCTGTTCGTATATCATAGTTGCAATTCACAAACATAGTTGACTGTAGGAGCAACTTGCATGAGAGATACGTGATGAGGTGCGGAAAAGCCCGGCGGCGCACTTCCGGCAGCTGCGATGTCAATATTTGCCTGTCCTGGAACACTTGTTGCATTCGATATTTCCCGCTCTTTATCTGAAACATGACTATTTAAAAATGGAAATTTTTAATGCTTTTGTTGGATAATAATACAGTAGCTATCGAATGACTATTTTTTATGTCAATAACGTAGTAGTAGTGTTTGAATTTACTATTTTTTTACTTGTGTTCTTTTGAATGTTAAAGAATGTGAAGGATGTTACTGTATATGCCTAATATTTCTTCTCTATATTCTCTGAATATAAAAAGTATGGCTCATAGGCCTCAAGTCAAGAGTGATATATAGATAAGTTTAGCATAGTAAAGTTTAAACATCTGCCTTATTATTTCTTTTTAAATTTCTTTTTTATATTATTCATACTACGACTACTTATAACAAATTATATAAACATAATATATTTCTCTTATACCAAAAATATATAAAATGGAAAGTATTATAAAGATATCTTTGTTTAGTAAACCAAACATAAAATGGTCGGCTGCAAATATATATATATAAATTTTGTACAGCTGCTATGTATAAAGGATACATACGTATGTATGTTTATAAAAATGTAAAAATAAAGAGTTTACATACTAGGAGACAATAAACTACAACCTAATATAAGCTAAAAATAAATAAACGAATAAAAGAAATATACACCAAATATTTATAGATCAGTAGTAAATAATTCTTAATCGATAATGAGTATGAATGATTAATAGCCGTTCGTATATATGAACTATATTTATATCTAAAATGGGTCTCGAATGGTCACAGAGGCTTACTCTAGTGAGTTATCAAAGAAATTTATTACGTCCCTTGGGCTAATCTGACTACATATCCGTACAATGTTTACGATTTATCATTGACAAGGCCTGTTGTATTATATATTCCTTAATCTAAGGCTTAACATTTACGGCCAGGATTAGTAAATATTTTCATAGTATTATATTTATTTGCATTTTTTGTTGTTATTATAAATAGAAGTTGAGCGTTGACTAAATTATTCATTAGGCTTATTTTCAGGTGCCACGTGTAGGGAAAATGTGTTTCTCTATATTTTTTAATAAAACTAATTGACTAAACCAAATGAGGTTTCGTATTTTTTTTTAGATTTCAATTACTGTTATTTGTCTGTAACTTTTTTTTTTTACAATTCAGTTCAGTAATTTAACTGGTATAACAAAAAAAGACGTAGACACTTTTGCCACAGAATATCTGCTATCGTTTTATAGTTTGTTCTTTATTAATGCCAATGTGTTAGAATTATATAGATCTATTTGTTTTTTTTTTTTTTTATATTTGATTGGGAAAATAATATGACAGTATTAGTCATAGTAAATATTGTGCTATAACTTTTGTCCGCGACTACATCCGCGTAGCCGTGATATGTTAAGTAACCAGGACAAACATTTGCTTATGCCCGTCTACATCCCCAATACTCCGCGTACTTACTTATACCAAATTTCATGACCATTAGTTTAGCTGTTAAGGTGTCAAGACCATTAAATAAACTCACTTTATTATTTATTATATTAGTATGAATTTATATGAAGTAATAAATTATACTAATTCCGTTCTGTCATCCTATGGATACGACATACCGGCAGCAGCCTGTTACACTACCGCTTAAACATTAATTATAGCTTAAATCCTGGTTTATATTTGGATAACTATTTCATCGTCTTCCTGCCCTTACCTCTGTTGAATTTCTATATTAATCTACGTCATATGATGTATGGCTTTACATCAATCAAAATCTAGAGAGTAGCTATATAGACAAAAGATTTGCACACAATAATATAGTAGATAATAACGCTAACTCCTGCATGCCACAAGACGTATTCGTAGGTAGAGAATAGAATGATTGATCTAAAATTCTCTATAGATTGCGCTTATTGTGTTTTAAAGATATTCAAGAAATGTTTACTTAGGACAGTATAATTTAGGAACAATGTATTTAAAAATATATCTACTTCGTATGTAATCGAAACACGGAAATTTATTAAATATGAACATATTGTCTTGTTACTTGCTACTATTAATGTCGACATATAAATATATAAATCAAAAGTTGTATTTTATCTCTAACTTTAACTTTTTTTATTTAAAAACACATTGATGCCGAATTATACCTGGATAGCAACAGTCCGAAAAGTCTGATGACTTGTATGCCAGCTTTATGGCTATACAGAAAACAATGGACGTCGGA